CACAATCCAATCTTACATAAAATTCATCCACGAAATCATAAACAACCTCAAAGAATTTAACAAAGACACACCATAATATAATAATTTAAAAATTCTTTATTTATATAATTAATAACACTGGATGCATTCTTTTGTAGTCAGATATATGGAGTGTTTTTTCTCAATAACAATATGGAGAAAAAAGACCTTATAATCTTCACCCTTTTCATTTTTGTCCTCCAAAGCTTGCCTGGAAGACATTACTGCTTAGCAATAAGGCCGTCTTTAGAATACTTTTATGTGGTTCTCTGTAACTTATTATTATTACTATATAACTAATTTACTTATGTAACTTTTAGCTTGTGTATATTGTTTGTGGTACCTACAACAGATAAAAGATAAAGAAAGTATGAAACAATTAACGTATCACAATACCCATCCGACTCGACACAATATTAATAGAAAAATGAATTTTCTAAAATAACCTCGGGACTTCAAAAATGGCGAGGCACTTTGAACCCAGCGTTAGAGTCACTCGGCTATGGTGGTTATCATTACCTTATCAAATGCGCCAATGAGACTCGTTGCATGTTCTAGAATTTTTATGGTTCTATCTCTTGAAGCTCAGTAACAGTTTTTAACAGATTTCATAAGATTGTGGTGATAAATATATTAAAAAAAAAAATAATAATCATACTACGAGGGAACAAATGAAAGTTTTTAAGGAGAATTTCTTAAAGCTAGGCGTAAAGGCAAGACTTCAGTCTATAGTCCTTTTTTAATTTATTACTCGCAAACGAATAATCGTTTGTAAAAATTAAGAATATTAATAAGTTGCATATAGAATCCCGTTAAAAATAAATGTTAACACACATATTATGAATTTTTGTGAGACACATTTGAAAGCATTTGGATGGCTCTTAAATATTGTTTAGTCTAGTCTTTGTTTGGGTGTTTCGCTATGAGTGATTACCGCCGAATACAATTTTAATACAGCGTAGTGCTGGTAGACAAATGAGGGCCATTAAAACAAGTTATTAATAGATGCGAGTACGGAACGCAAGGAAAACAAACATTGCAAGGTAAGTCAATACCAGATGCTATAAAATTAGGTAGCGCCACGCATGTTTTATTGCCGTGGTTGATATAAAAAAACTAAAAGCGAGTCATACTCGCGCTCTGAGGGTCCCATATAATATTATCACTCGTAGAATTGGTAAGCATCGAAGTTACAACCTCAAAAGAATAGACAAAACTAAGCTTTGCGTTGGATAAGTTAGTTATATACGACTAAAGCCAGTCACAGGTACAAGGAAGGAAATAATTTCAATGTTCAAATATTAACAGTAATTAAAAATAGGTACAGAGTAGATGTGAACGTAGAAAAAACCAAACAAAGACTGTAATAATATTGGTTAACCAGGTTAACCCTGCTTTTCAGCTTGTGCCGTTACGATAAACACTGTACGCTGTGCTATATGTTGTAGTTACTTCTTGCCTTTAATGTTAACTTATTCATTCTGGTGTATAAAAATATGCAGTATAAACCCCTGTGGCCTTACATTGATTCGATACTTAACAGTTCGATGTTGATTTTAAATTATACCTTCAAGCGAAGTAATAAAAAAACTTCTTGCAGACAGACAAAATATATTAAAATAAGATTTCCTTATGCTACTTCATAATTAGCATTGCGAATTCAAATTCACTAGAGTGTCAGAATTCACTTCAAAGGCGGCATCCGCTCATTCTTGAATTGGTATAACGTTTGAATGAATGATTTATTGAACACACCATTATCACATTATAACGTTTCGTGGCATAAGTGAATTAAGTTTCGAAATGACATAGAATATCTGAGACACGTATGAATCTTGAATGAACAGAATTCCTACATTAAATGACGTGAATTCGACTTCGGGTTCGGATTTTTATAGAATCGCTCTGCTGATCCCCAAAGAAACATAAAAAAATAATTAAGCAGTAGTCGCTTTTCGAGGTTATTTGGGGGCAACGTACGTCGTTGCAAATATTATAAAGTAGTATAAATAAAATTGTAAAAATACACTGTTGGAGGATGATGTCAGAAAAGTAATAAAATGCGATGCATAGTTACAAAAAAGTATAAATATTAGCCAAGATTACATACATTGCTCAGATTCCAAGATGTGCGTCAAAGCCCCCGCATTATAGAGTATCTGAGACAACGAAGGTAACACAATACTCAGACTCGAGACAATATAGGAAAGGCCATTTTCTATTTTGACCTGACCGGGAATCGAATTCGGGACATTGAAACCGGCGTGCGAACCACTCTGCCACGGAGGTCGTCAAAGTATAATGAGAGAAAAACAGATAGTGGTCACCATTAGTAATACGTATTCGTTCATCAATTGTTTACTTACCTGTGAGGGCGAGTACACACTAAATCACCCTTCATGTGGGTTTGTACATAGAAATAATGGCTAAATAGGCTGTAATTAAAATAAGAAACCTACATCATATTCTTAAGATTCATTCGTTGGTGCGTGGCGCATATCTCGCGAGACACGGTACTGCATACCGCACGCTAAGGGCGATTGTGCACTACACTGAATTTTCAGGACCGGCGGTCCGATTTTTTCCGGTCGCGCCCTACGGATACAACATGAACTTTTAAAATTATATCTATAGAAAAAAGCACAGATTTAGCATTTTTCCATTTCTTGTTTCTTTAAGTATCCCATTTTAAAGGGTATAATTATTACATTCACATTACTCTCTGTCACTTAGATTACGTTATATGAGTATTACTGAAATTATATTTCGCATTCTTAGATCGGTCTGCGAATACTGTTATAATCATATTTCATGTTTCTTTGTGTCTATTATTAATTTTTCTTCAAAAATTATGTATAAGGAACCATCTATCAATTTTTATTTGGGACTCTGTAAGGGGTCTTGTTTTTTGGAGAGTAATAAATGCTTATTATTATTAAAAAATTATAAATATACGAGTCGCTTTGTAGCCAGGGGAATTATTAAGCACTTGTACAATAATCGTAATAGTTTGAAATAAATAATTAATAACTTCTGTTCATATCTATCGCATTGTGTCTGGTAATGAAATAGATAGGAATAGCCTTTTGTAACAAGTGCCTTCGTCCATACATATTTTTTTTTATTTCTAATGCCATCATCTGCGCTAAAAAAGTAAGATATCCGTACATAATCAGGCATTAGTACAGTATTATATATGTTACTTATATCTGTATCTCTAGTCTGCGGCTAGTGTTTCCTGATTATGACTTGTTTTGAAATTTAAACAGCCCTACCTACATATCACCGTAACGCTTGTACCCGATGTAAATTCAATTCGCAATTAATAGTTTTCGTTCCTGTAGTTTACTTTCTTTTATGTTAAGAAAAATAATTAAAGAAACAACTAGTTGTAATGAAAATATTTTTATTAATTATCCACTTGATTTTACAGTAGCATATTTAAAATATTAAATACTTCATACAATATTCCAAAAATCCTATCTAGTTAACAAATTCTCGAACAGTTATAAAGCTTGTTTATTATAAAAGTGTACTTATAATTATTTATTGAGCAGCTATCATCTTACTATAACATAACAGTAATGTTCATACCACAAATAATATTTAACAAGTAATCGTTTCTTAATTAATAAATGATAATGGAATTATATTATTCACCCGTAACTATTAACAATCGTCATCAATGAAAACCTCAATAAGAACTTATTCAGATATGATCTCATGCATGACGCAGTATAAAATATATGTCGCAGCCAACTGGTTTGAACACCTGTCCAAAGTGTTAAATTATTTTTTTTCAATACAAAAAATTGCTTTTCTGTGCCCTACAAAGCTATATTCACAGTGTAACTGTGGGTCGGCTCGGAGTCTCATATAATGTTTGTTGATCAGCTGATTAGTCGAACACAACATAAGTATGATATTACAAATATAATGTAAGGAACTATAAGTTAATTATTATATTTGATCAAGTTCGCATTTAAAGCTACAATGAAACATTTTCTTAATGAAAAATGCTAAAAAAATCCACATTTGGGCCCTGGCACCCTTAGATGGGATTCGAATCTATGACCTTTAGAAATCCGAGCGATTGCTTTAACCACTGAGCTTCCCAGGACCTTATAGGGCTGACAAATCTTTCAAGCTAATGTTATTTCTTCGCTACTACAGACCAAACTCTCATCAATTTTGAGGCAATCCACCTAAACAGCCGAAAGAAATATTTTTACAAATATATAAACTTTCGATAAAGATGAAGATTTGATCTAATTATATGCGAAATCCCATCTCAGGGTGCCAGTGACCAAGTGGATTTTTTAGGCATTTTTCATTACAAACTATAGGTTCATTTATGTTAAAATTTTATGTTCATATAAATTTTTATAACTATTTGTTCCAGTACTAATAAATAAATAAAAAATACTGTGCACAGCTCAGCCAAATGGTTATATGTCATGATGACACGAGACATTTAATAATGTTATTATAACTAATTTAGAAACAGTATTATTTACATTTAATAGCAAAATATCGGTATTATTAGATAAACATTACTTTGATGTTCAATTGACGTCACGTTCAGCGAAATTAGCTCTTTGATGGCGGAGACTTTGAATCAGACTTAACATATATAACTAGAGAACTATAAATACAATCAAATGGCCCTTTCAATTAAAAGGCTAGCCGTCCGATTGTAGGACTGTTTAACCAGTTGATTGCGACATGTACATATTTTGATTTAAATCATTATCATAATTATAAGTTTCATTCACTGGATAACTTAAACTAAGTAAGCGTAAACCCATCAAAAGCACCTGTTAACTACCATTAGATTTTATAAACCATCAATTAATAGCAAAGAAAGATACACATTGCTTAGCTTTTAAAGCAAACTTTTAGAATGTTTTTCTATTATAGTAATTATTGATTTATTTATGTTTTAAATCACTGTATAATTTATGCTAACAATTAATTAAATACTAATATGATAAATTGGTTTTAGTTTTTATATTACTACGTAGAAAGTAAATGAGAAGACTACCAGTAAGCAAGGCTCCACCCCTGAAACAATAACATTATAATTATCTGGTTGCAGAATATTTATATACTCTACTGATGACATCTTCAGTGACAATGACATGGTTTTTGTGAATGTCGTTATTTCTATAAGAGCTGCTGAGTTTCTTGCTTGTTCTTCTTATTAGCCAAAAGATGTCCTGAACGAGTGGCAGACAAAGAAATGTTGGACGATTTAAAAATACTTTAAATAAGTTTATTTGAACAAAGATATTTTGACTTTGACTTTATTAACGCATATATCGTAAATATTACTTACAATATTATTGGCCAATTTTTGTATAGTCAATTCCTCAATCAATCATCAATCTTATGAATAATAAATTAGTGGTATTATTATAATAAATAATAATGTATGTTATCGAATAAATGAGGTAGTCAGCATAAGTGACTGGACCCAGAATGTTTCATATTCATACTTATGGCAACATGTCTTACCACATCTTTACATTCATAAATTTCGAGTTATTTTAGGACGCTAGCGCAAAACTGGTCTAACCCACAATGTTTCATATTCGTACTTATTTATTGCAATTTATTTAACACTCCATAAATTATTATGCAAAATTCCTATTTGCAAATGCAAAACCGGCCTACGACTGTTTTCATAAAGGGATAAGCCGGTTTTAGATAATAAATCATAAGTTTTAAATAAATTGCAATAGATAAGTACGAATATGAAACATTGTGGGTTAGACCAGTTTTGCGCTAGCGTCCTAAAATAACTCGAAATTTATGAATGTAAAGATGTGGTAAGACATGTTGCCTGGCTCGTAATTGTATAATCTACTTACTTTAGACATCAAATATTAAAAAATAATTAAGAAAAACGTAATCTCAGAATCTAAAAGCGCTGGGAGATTATTAATATAGCAACATTAATGTACATTATTAGTACCATACCAGAGAGCCATACGACTTGCCACGCTGTGCTGATACGGGCTGTACACAGATATTCTATACTCTCGACTGTTTCTGTATTGTTTCAGTATTCTTTCTGCGCTAAAAAACAAAATAACTTATCGACGCTGTAAAGCAAACACGTAGTAACCCGCAACACCAAAATTGTTCTTCAGAGTAGAAAAACTTTTATTTTTTTCGATAAATAATCCCTATTAACGTCCATGGTAACAAATAAAGTGTTCCTTAGTCAACTTATACGGAAATAAGTTTTTTTTTTTGAAATATATAAAGATTTTCCACTCTAACTATCCATATTGATTTTGCAGGTTACTACGTGTTTGCTTTCCAGAGTCTCTCTGAGAGATTTCTCTGAAATGAGTTCAAAAGATTTGAGTGTATTTTGTCATATATGTCATGAATGTTCATTACTTTATTAGATTAGAAAAAATATATAAAGGGGGTTTATTATTTAAGTTTATTTCATCGTTTAATTTACTATCATATTAGGTTTTCTAGAATCGCAAATATTGTTGGAACTCTACAGCTTCTTTAAAATTTTAAGGGGGAATGAGTTTTACTCATTTTATAAATTGTCATACTTACGTGACTTGTGTAGCAGCTGCTAAGAGGGCGGCCCGGCTACCGTAGGGCTTTATGTCTATAGAGCCGATTCCTGCGAGTGCCGTCACCACCTAGGTAATTATCAAATAGTATTCAATAGTATTGTATAGTTGGTAATGACTGCTCGCTGGCCATCCATCAACTGGAAATCTAAACTACAAACTTTTTAATGTGAAATTACGACTATTTTTTAATCAATTTTGCTTTCACGATGCTATACTGTTAAATATGTATTTTTCTCTTCTTGCCTAAACGTTGGTGAAAATACACTCACTATAGTAACTGTTTCAATACAGACATACTGTTTCAAGTCAGAAATTCGTAAGAATATTCATCTGTTCTCTTATAACTTCGAAACTACTCATCGTAACTGGACAAATGAGGTATCATGGAAGCGTTTTAGTAGACCGCGTGCTATAGGCTATGTGATGTTACATTAAACTGGTAACAGCGCCCTCTAGTGAGCATAAGGTAAGAAACTAAAAAAATATATATTATTCAATCATTCCGTGTAGGGTATCAAATGAAGCATTTTGAAATATATATATTGATAGCTTTTGCTTCCGATTTTGCTTAAATATACCCGATAATTAATTTAAAAAAAAAGTTCAAGACTATAGCCCGTCTATAGCAAACTCACGCTCTAAAAAGTTTAAAACAAGAAATAGATTTTATAGCCATAGCTTTATTACCATAGCGATGACCAAAGGACATACGACTGTATGTAAAACAAACTTTTTAGAGCATGATTTGGCTATAGTCGGGATTTAGCTTTTAAATATGTTTTTTTTCGTTTATGGCATTTATTAGATGCCTATGTTAAAATTGAGTCTAGGATAGAAATGATTGTTTGAATATTTTTTTAGACTATTACCAGGTTTGCCAGAATACCATGCTACAGGTAGTGCGTATATTATGAATGCAAAGTTTTGAACGTTAAACGATGATTGGATTTGTTTCGAAAATGCCACCCCATGCGAGTTGTTGCTATTTAGTTGAAAAATTAGAAAATAATAGTTCTCTGCTATGTTTTAGTATGAATTGAGGAAGCTATTATGTGTGATATGCATACTTATTTATACCTAATATTGATACCCCAATAAGTTATGTTTTCAATCGTACGGTTTGTTCATACGAGTGGGTGATGAGACAAAGAGTAATGCACATTTCTACATCTTTAAAGTCAGTAGATATTTAGATAAATTAGCATATCAGGTCAATGGTACGGCATATCTCGAACGCAACTAACTATAGCGCTCACGACAAAAATATTGTCACGTAATGAAATATAACGCAGACGACTTTTGCACTGGGATTATCGTATTTATATCTTAACCTTAAATCAACCTTGACAGTGGCATGAAAAATGGTATTTCGTACATTTGAGAAATCAAACACCGAGTGCCGTTAAGAAAACATTTCTGTTTAAAAATAAAACTTCTCCTCGTATGACACTTGGATATTATCAAACTGTTTTAACTAGTACCAGGGAAATGTGCACAGCAGGGTAGATATGCGTGTAGGTGTGTTACGCGAGTGTATACAGTGCCCGTTCACTGGCTGTGCGCCAATTGTCATCGGTTTCCAACAACACGTTTGAGTATGACACTGTGTCGCTACCATAGAATTAAAGAAAAATATTGCAAACACGCGAATATCGTGTTATGGATTATCTGTGATAAAAGCTGTGTGCGAGGTTACAATTACTGGTATGACGTACATATGTAGATGATTGACAATGTGTATTTTTGGATGGAAAAATTAGGTGTGTAATATGCTAACTGTAGTGTTCTATAATTATTACACTATTTATAATACTAATATTATTTAAAAGCAATGCCTTTCTATCTAGTTTAATCGTTGCTCAAACAGTGACAAGTTGTCTGCCCAATAAATAGTTTTTAGATTATCGCATTAAGATAAAACCTTTAAACCTTTTTTTAAACTGATCCTGTCGTCAAACAACGTTAATCCTTTATATGTCTATGGTAAGAACTATCTAAGATATTTCAAAATATTAATGGAACAATCTCTCTGTTTTCTGCATATTACAACATTCTAGTATTAGAGCTAATAGCGGAAACGTGTGTCCTAAACAACGTACGTCCATCAAATGTGACAATTATATTTCTACCATAACTGTCCGTAACATATGGACTATAATTTTGGCACTGAGCGAGCATTGGGACAATGCGGATGATCCAAGTGTTCACAACAAAAATAATTTCTAGTCTGGTTATGCAACTAGTTCTAATGTTGCCAGATTTGTGTTAAACAATGTTGTATTGATTGCAACATTACGAGTTACGACTTTAACAGGACGTAATTACTGGTGATGCCCAATAGCTTTTCATTAATATTTCGGACGTTTAAACACATTCGGTTTTAGGTTCTGCGAGATTTTGTTTATGTTCCGCGTATTTCTGTGAGTGCGTTTTGTATATATTAATACGTGTAAACTGTCTGCTAATGTCAGTGACAATAGCTTACTGCTATGCCAAGGGCAATCGGCAGGGCAGACGTAGATTTGTCTGCCAAAGATATTTGTCAACGGCACGACCTTACTGCGACCACAGACATTGAAAATCATTTAGGTAAAACGAGTTGTTGAAATGCTTCGCCATTTACAGTTAATTTAAAACCTAAGGCATATATTTTTAATTGTATCAGAAGTTTATTCACATGCTCTAATAATGTAATGGGAATTATCAGATCCGTATAAGTATTGTATCTTTTAATTTGAACTACGATGTCTTTATATATTGGACAGCCATCATTATTTACCATTTAACTGTGTACAATTTGTCTATGTTACTAAGAAATACCTATTTCTCCAATTTTTTAATTAGCCTTCTATCGAAAGTTGAAATCCTTATGATTTGTTTTAGTATTTAGTACTGTTGGTAAAAAAAAAGACAAAAAAATCTTTGACGCGTGCGCATGATTGACGAGGATCAGTGCGTCATAACGTCACAGTGAATATTGGAATGTATTTTAAAAGTGACGTAATGTAATACAATCTTTCTTAATATAGCATACCTATCTAAACTTATTGTTCCCAGCGACTTTGTCAGACTTCGTTGACATTGATTTCGAGTAGGAATTTATTAAAAGCCAGTATATTTTGAATGCGTATCATTTGACAAAACAAATTGTATTATTAATCATATTGGAATAAATATTCATTTATCAGAATGTTTGCTTGCCTATTAAATTTTTCAGTCGATTTTAAAATTATTTATATCTGTCTATTTGACTTTCAACACGTTAATAATTTCACAGATTTATTTGGTACCATTAGTTTTGTGGACTGAGTTCAGATAATATTTCGTCGCTTCATTCGTCAGTAACAATATACAACGAAGGTAGTCTTTTTAACTTACCAAGCATTATCCACAATGTTTTTATTGCTTAGTTTTCAGCAACTCTACAGCAAGTGAGGCAAAGGACTAGATTATCAATTTTATATTCGAATGAAGCGACTAAAGTAAGTTCGTTTAAAATTATAATGTAACGTTGCCTTTGCAAAAACCTCATAATAATATGGAATATACATAGTTATTTACTTACTAGGCGTATGTACTAGGCGGTGTCTGGGAAACCTTTGTAATATCTTTGTTATTTTCGCGTTTACATTTTTAGCTGTTATAATGAAAGTTGTAACGTTTTATGTAACTAATTTAATGCCATATGTATTTAAGTAAATTTTTGTAGTTCATTTTTCTCCTTTTCAAGTTTTCGAAGCGTAATATTTTGCAAATGATTGTCATAAATTTTTTTTGTTGAATATTTATAAGTTATAATTTTTCATATTTTCCGAACATATATCCATGCAATAAACATTCGAAATGCAGATTGGAGGGTATTAACGACTTCAAATGCGGGACGTGTTCCGCTTAACGTGTCTTCTGAAGCTCGAGATATTTATTTGGTCACCTATCCCGTTATCGACCCTCGCGAGAGTTGCTAAACAACAACGTTCGCGAGTGGCGGCGCTTATCCACTACATCATCGAACTACACAAGTGTGTTGTATAGAAAATTATTTTATTCATAATATAAATCTTCGTCCACGATGAAACACAATGTCGCATAAATTCGTTTGGTGTCCATCAAATAAATGACAGTAATAAGAGTCCGCTCTGATGCGAAATGTTATATTTGACGTTTCACGTGAGATGTTGTAATATGAGGAAACGAACTGATGAAATGCCTTTGACAATAAACATATCGAAAATGAGGTCGAAACTAATTATAAATTTTATTTTAAACCGATGGATCGACGTGGACAGACAGCCGACATGTTTATATTTGGAGCGCAACAGAATAATATTAAGCGATGTGTAAATGGACAAATAAAACAAGATATGAATGATCGAAATTTTGAATAACGTCTTCGTTGAATGCGTGTAGCGTTATTCAAATTGTATTTTTCATAATTATACATATATTACAAAATAAAAAAATAATAAGAAAAAGGGGAGAAGATTTTTCAATTTTATTACATCATATCCACTTTTATAATTAAATTTAAAAAAAAGAAGGTTTGTTGAGAGAGAGAGAGGTTGAGAAGGATATCATGACCCTCCACGCTGGCCCTGTATTGATGGGTATTAACGACTTTAAATATGGGAACAACGGTTTAACGTGCCTTCCGAAGCACAGAGTAGCTCGAGTTCATAATTTTTTGATCACCTATCCCGTGACCGACCCTTGCGAAAGTTGATTAACAACGGCAACCGCGGCCGCTGCGCTTATCCACTACGCCACCGAGCTACTCGTCGTCGTCGTATTTTTGTTTTGAATACGTGATAACAGATTAAATAGTACATAATTTAAAAATAAATATATTATTAAAAGAGACTTCAACTAACCTTGCTGATGTTGATAACTTGTTCATTTAAAGATTTGATGTGCAGTAATTGTGGACGGTGGCTTGTGGGGTCTTCACCGACTAAATTCTGCCAAGAAAATAATTATTTAAGATACGAGTGCGGAAAGTAAGGTTTTACGAATTCGAAAAACCTTATACGCTCAAGTTTCTTACAACATTTTACAATGCTTTTTGCGAGGAAATAAAACAAATATATAGGTTAATAAAACTAAGTATGTATTAAAGGTTAAAATTATTTGTTAAAATTAAACGTGATATTTGAACGTTTTCGTATCATATATTTTTATTTGAAAATATTCGTTCTAGGCTCCTTGAAATACTTTTGCCTCTAAAGTTTGACATTTTTTCATAATTTTATTAAAAATTTCTTTGGTGCTCGGCCAAAAAAAATTAATAAAATACTTTAAAGCACGTGTGCAGTAAAGGATTTCAGTACATTTTTATTTAACACGTGTTTAAAGACTCACTTTCGGTGTTTACAATGGATTAAAAAAATAGCGCTTTATGAGCAACTGCATTGAAAAATATTTATCAGTTCTTAAGATCCATAATAAAAAAATCTTAAGTAATCATAAAAACAAGGAACCTACAGGGTTCACGCGTAAAGCAGTCTTTTTTTTTGATAGAGTAGGGAAATGCACCTTAAGTCTCAAACTAGGGCTCTCCTTCTACCCCGCCCTGAAGAGTGTAGGTTAGTGTGGCGACTGCGGTTTATCTCACGCGGATAGGACGCGGGTTCGTCCTATCCTGGTGTCCGGTTTAAGCATAGAGCAGTCCTACCAATTGACCTGGCGGTAAGCCAGGAAGCGGCGACGTGGTAATCGGGCTAGACGGGCGTCCCGGGGGTAACTCGGGTAGCGGCGGTGGTACATGCGGCAGGTACCTTTTTCAAGGCAACCACCGACCAATCTGTAATTGCTCTTTTGGTAGGGATGAGGAGGCTTCCCTTTGCTGGGTGGTCTTGTGTGCAGGAAACCACGAGGAAAAGACCGCTAATCCTGTACTAGCAGTGGGTCAGAGGACGGAAGGCAATGGGTGGCACTGTCATGACACAACCGCTGGAGACGGGGACCGGCCGACCCCCGCCTTCACAACCCTAGGCTTGCTCAGACACATGGCCTCTGTAGTAGGCAATTGCAGCAATTGTCTACTACTGGTGGGATCAATATGGGCGCTATCAAAAGGGGCGCTCTTTCAAGGGCGTGCACCTTTGGAGTGAAGGTTTCCGATTTTGTTTGGGATCACACGGATCACAAAATCGGTTTGCTAAAAAGATTGACGGAATTCCTGGGGAGCTGTAATCGCAATCTTGAAGGAATTAGGGAGAGGAGAGAGTATCTGGGTTTGGGAAATAAACATCTAGAGTCTAAGATGCGTGTTTTGGACGTACTGAGGAGTTGGAGAACCCTTTTTTTACATGAGGCCATACACCGCACGGTTCGCCCCCATTTCGGTATTTACGCCGCCGCCACTGATTTATTAGCTCCACGCCGCCGCCGAAGATTTCGGCATCGGCGCACATGCCTAGCCTGAACTGACCATTTTATTGCCATCCATCTATCTGTAGACGATCACTTCTTACATTTAAGCCGTGGAGAGAAATTGTCTTTAACAAGTCCACTTGAATTCGATGATATAACTTTGACAAGGTGTTTCATTTTACGATACAATTTTTTTTCCGTATTAAGGAATAATAAACATTAAAGCGACATTATTACCCATGTCAACCGATATTGTATCTTATTATTTTGGTCTTAAAGCTTAATCATTAAGATATATTTGTAATGTACCAAAAATGACATTCTCTCAGTAGCCAAAGAATAGTAATAATGTCTCACCATGTAAGGTACGGATGCTCGTATGACGTTGACTCTGTTCCGGTAGCTGGATAGGCCGGAGAGGGTCTCTGTGGGCCCCACCGGCCTATACTTGCCGCTTGACTCGCACGCTGCCCAGTGACCGAGTCGCACGAAACAGTAACCTGGAGGTGTATCACTAATTAAATGTTTTTTTACTCTGAGACATAATCCTAGTGCGTTGAGTTTACCTATACACCTTGAAGGTGATTGCTCATCTACCAGAATGGAAGGCGCCAAAGAGACGAAAAGAAGGAATATAATGACGCGTAGACATACGCTTTTCTGGTGTAAAAAAATGAGTGACTGGTCAAATGAAGACGTCTTGAACTTCCTGGAATGTTACCAGGCAGTGTCGTGCATTAGAAACCCGGGAGATACTGATTACAAAGATAAAAGTTGCTGTAACATGGAGTCATCTTAACACGTCATTGATTAAGCCAATAAAGGAATTGCATAGAAGGTTTACAACCTTTGTAAATTTTGTTTATGTAATAAAAATAATTTAAGATGATGACACATAAATAGGCGAATATCACATTAATTTGCGTTGGAGTTCTTTGTGTTTATTAATGATATGCTAAGTATTCGTTTATATTGTGAAGATAAATAAAAAAATCGTTACATTGTTTAGAATGTTATTAATTTTATATTATTTGAAATTACCGCAAGATAATAAGGCACGGTTTGATATGATATGTTTAATTGTAAACTGTCCGGCTTAAAAAATCTGTTGGGAAAAAGAATATAGTGAAACTTCGAAGAAAAAGGTATCTTTGAGAAGTTTTTTAATCAACAATATTCTTGTCGATATAATTACAGATTCTTTCAAACAACCATATACTTATCACTATCACTACATATTATAAAACAAAGTTCCCCGCTGCTTCTGTCTGTCTGTCTGTTCGCAATAAACTCGAAAAGTACTAGACGGATTTTCATGCGGTTTTCAACAATAGATAGAGCAATTCTTGAGGAAGGTATAAGTTTAGGTTTTGTACAACGGACTATATTACAACGATATTAGTTCAATATATCGGAAAAAAAGCCGATCGGAAGCTTTCCTCGAAAACGCTGCCTAAAACTTTTGAGTTATAACAAAACACTGTATGGTGGAATTGTACCTCTTTAATAGATCTACAAAAAAGTGGGCGGTGGTATATGTCTATATTCCAAGGATAACTCACAATAACCATTTTTTTTGCGTATACTTAAAACAGTAAAATGATGGGTTATTGACGAACCTATTTTTAACATTACAACAGTATTGATCCTTATAAGTTAGATAAGTTCCAAATAAATAAGTTAGATACGTTATGCGTGTAATGTAGATCAAAATTGCCTTGTACACTATAAAAAAAAAAAAAAAGAACTTATGAGATTAAAAGTTATCGAAAAATAAAAATCTTCGGGCGAGCTATTAAATATCGATGAATAAAAATGAATCGCCGAAACGTATGTACGCGCATAACTTCATAATTCCAGTTTCGACTGCACCAAATTGGATGACACGGTTTGCATACAAGTTATTTTTTAAAACGGGTCAAATTCCTTTGCATAATTTTAAAGATTTAAGCATACATAGGGATATAGGGACAGAGAAAGCGACTTTGTTTTATACAATGTAGTGATACTAGAGCCAAAGCAAAACTGTTTAGTGCTTAAGATTCATGGCGTTTCAATTTTAATTGTAATCCTGTTTCTTGTTTCTTGTTCCTATAATATTGTTTTTTTTTTGTTAAGAGGAAATATGCTAGTGGTAAAATTGATCTAATAAATCTATTTGGAGTCATCTCTGGGATTTTTTTCTATCAAGCCATAGTCGATCGTATGTTTATTTTTAGTAAAATGATTTTTATTTGGTAAATATTAACACAGCTATAGAATAAAATTGGGTCACAAAGTTATTATATCGTATAAACTCGCCTCAAGAGAATGTCTTCATTACCCTAGTATAATTTGAATTATTTAGGTCTGATTCGGATTTAGTTTTTTTTTTGGTCAGGCTTCCCTTTCATAAAATTACAACATTCGCCATAGGTACACCACATATTTAAATATACTTAGGAAATTTTGAATATTTATCTTGCTAAAATAAAATATGCAATTGTCGCTTTAGATAAGTATTTACAGAAATTTATATATGTATAATCCAATAAGTATATAATAGTTTTGTGGGATAGGTCAATATACAGGTTGTAACGTTAAGAATAGTATGGGAATGTCTGAAATTATAAGACATATGAAGATTTATTCTTAGAAACCATGTCACGGATTTTAGTGATCAAAAAACTGCATACTGATCCCTCTCAATATTACATCCTGTATAAAATTATAAAAAATTACTACATTCATTAACATTTACCAGAACAAAATGAGTCCCAACCGGCTTCATGATACGATTGTTTTACATCAAACGGAGTACTCAGTCTAATAGGATTTATACCTTGTTCCAATTTCTTACATTTCCCTTCAGCAAAAAATTCATACAAGCTGTAAATATATTATTTTGTTTCATCAAAATTCATCAAAAACTTCAATTAATTTTAAGCCTTAATATATAGGCACTTAAGGCTTCAAAATCTATTGAAGAAGAAAAATAATAAATATCATATAAAACTACTTACTCTTTCAGTGCATTTGATTTCCAAACTTCATCAAAGGATAATCTCTTAGACATTTCATGGGAAATATATTTGGTATCATAAATAACTGGAAATATTTGATTTATATTCTTCTTGAATGTTATATACTTCTCCGGTAAAGGTCCTATAAACTGATTGTGCAGTAATATAATATCCAAGAACATATTGTGACCAACTATTGGCTTGTTATATGCTTCCAGTAAGTATATTATTTGTGAAAATCCTAAAAGACTGTTAATCAAATTCTCTTCTAAAATTGCTGTCGGGGCACTTACTGCACCTTCTACATATTTATCTCTGTATATTAGAACCTGTAAAATAACATTGCAAACTGTAAAACAAAAACGTTGAATAGTCTTATAATATATGTAAAAAATAAGCATGCATGCAAATTTTTAAGATCTAATAAATTTTAGAGGAGTAAATTATGTGCCTTTCGCAAGGGCCGGTCATAGGACGGATATAACATAAATTATCATCTTGAGCTTCTCTGTGCTTCGTAAGACACGTTAAGCCATTGGTCCTGACTGCATGCAGATGCAGTGATTATATAAAAATAAATGTAATCTACCCTATTTATAGCAAATAAAGAATTATTATTAATAAAATAAAAATAACCGTTATTCACTGATCAATTACAAATTTAAGCTAGATTTTATTAACATCAGCTTCTTAATCATGTGTGTCCTCTGACATAGGCCTCCTCCAGGTTCTTCCACCTATTTCTATCATTACAGATTTTTCTCAATTTTTTTGGCATGTTGTCTTCCATCTTTTTATCTGATTTATTTTTTCATCTTGTGGATACCATTCCAGGTTCTGTTTTGTCCATTTATTCTTATTTGATCTCATCATGTTCTATGTCCATTCCTCACCTCTTATGGGAAGGTCTGTGACCCAGCGGGTACATTAATGGGCTGATGATGAGTATAATAATTTTCCTTACAAGGGGTAAAACAAACTAAAGACCGAATTACTCAGGCTAGTGATTTACCTTATTGCTATTACCTAGGCTATCAGTGGTGAGTACATTTGGAAATCTATTCCTAACTTCATTATGGACAAGGTATCTAAGAACAGAAGACTTAACATCTATGTACATTGTATCTTCATCACTAGTAGTCAGCCACCTGAAAGTATAAAATGATTTTGTGGAATAATTTGTGACTACAATATAGGGTCAAAAGAAAACACCGTTACATCAAGCTCACTTGATTTCGAACTCAAACAATAATGCATTAAAATCAAGTAGAGAAATTTGACAGTTTTGTATAGTCTAACATGACACTATATATATTTATTTATAATAAATATTATAAATAAATATCTGTTCTGTACACTGATTTAAATATTTGATCTCAGTGATATTTATATAGCACTAGATGACCTGATATACTTCATATTGCCTTTCACTGTTTAAATCTTCCCTGAACTATGACAAACATTTCAAACCAAGTTAAAGCGGCCCAGCCATCTTAATTTTTACTGAGACAAACAAACAGCAAATGGCTTTTATACATAAAGATTTGGACATACTTTTAAAATCACATTATTTTAGATGCAATAATTTCACATATTTCTAGGGCCTCCTTGAAAGAAAAATAATTTAACAAAAAAGCAAGTAGGTACTTTTAATTTAAAAAATATACTTAGTGTGGATAACACAGTTATATAATTTAATTTTGTGATAAGATAAAACTCTACTGGAACTGAATTATATTAGACTGATGAAAATGTCAGTTATTAACAACATTGGTATTTTAAAAAGTTGGTTGTTTTTTAGGTAAAATTAAGCTACTTACTTGGATACATCAGAGCAGTAGGTTTGTAGTAACTTCTCATCGTCAATGTCTAGTGTGTGGGTGAGATTTTGAAATAGTGTATTGTCTTTTAAATGTTGTCGTATTTTGGCATCTTCTGTTTTGCTAAGGTATGGGAGACCCTCATATGTGAACTGAAAATGATAAGGAAAAAATTTATTAATATATTGGTAATAGGTTTAAATTTTAAAATATTTGTATGCTGATGTTTATAAGCACAAACATTATACATCAATTTGAGCTTTGTTTTAGGTGGAATAGAAAAATCTGAATTTATATTCTCACATAAAATTCTTAAATGTAAAAAATTACATATTAAATAGGCTATATTGGATAGTTCTAAACATTTAGTCATTCTAAATGTTTGTTAGTGTTTACTAGCGCTGCTATTTTAAGAATTCACATATCTTTTTTTATATTGTTATATTACAAGATACAGCTGTAGAAAAATATAACAAATCTTTATCAAATTCTGCATTAACAATGATTGTGTAGTGAACCCTTCTAAGAACTTATGAAATACCTGTATCTGACAATATAAACTTTATATTATAATATTTGTTTGAATATTTTTCTAACTAAAATAGCTATGATTATTTTAGCTATAAATATAGGATGTGAATTTTAGTCGAATTACATAGTTTATAATCTAGTATTCAATAAATATATTTAGTATGAAATCACATTAAATTATTATAAAGTATATTAATAAATGTTAATTTATTAATTAATCAAATTACCTTGTTGAAATCAAAATTATGTTTACAAAGAAATTTGAGGGTAGATGCTTGAAAAATAAAAGACTGGTCTATGTCTGCAACAACTTGAGGACAGAGATGGAATGTGTAGCCCACTGCTACATATGTATCAATGTCTCTATCATATTGAAACATTGTAAGGCCAATTTGGGTCATTACCATCTTACTAACTGCTGTTTTCATTTTATTGTAGCGGTCTTCATTGGTGTCAAACAAACTGAAAATAAGGTACTAACATAAGGTACACCTAGTGATGGTGATGAATATCATATCATATTCAACAAAGGAAGAATAATATAGAATATTCTAAATATACAGAAATATTCTACATCAATTTACATACTCAAACAAATAAGATTTGAATAGTGGCAGAGTAATTAGTCCATAGAATGTAAAGTAATAATTACCTATTCTGAAAATTATCTCCGCTTAAAATCGCTGTGAATTCGGCGTCAAAACCAATAAAGCAAGAACGTTTTAAATCTTCAGTAATGTTATCAATCTGTTCTGCAAAATTCTGTTTAGTTATTTCCATTTTGATTACAATTGCAATATGTGTTATATTCTATGCATATAATTATTTTATTTATTCTTTGCTTTTTTAATTGGATCGCTACAACAGTTAAATTCTAATACTTTTATCTTAACTGAAATGAAAATCTGAAAACTAAATTTACCCTCATTTTTAGGTTAGAATTATAGTTAAGGCAACGGGATTAAGCCCATGCGGCCGTATAAGGGAAAAATGTTTTAAGTCGTGGACAGAGTCTGTCTACGCTTTAAGTGCACGAAGGAAATAAAAAAAATAACGAATATTTTAGTAAGCTCGGCATAGATGGCAGCACTAGTGCAACTGTAAACAAAGAAATCTGCGAAACAAATAAAAGGTCAGTCGCGGACATTAATCAAATTAAAGATAATAAGGTCACTATAAATAGATATTTATTTGAAAAAAGATAGATCCTAAAAATGATCCTTCGTGTAGTCTATTGACCAGTTCGAAATGAAATGAAATGAAATGAAAATATCTTTATTCAAGTAGGCTATTACAAGCACTTTTGAATCGTCCAAAAAACTTTTTTCCCCTACCACTTGTTCAGGACGTCTTTTAGCTGACAAGAAGAACAAGCGAAAGAAACTTATCAGCTTTTTATCATAAGTAATGACATTTACATAAATCATGTCATTACCAAAATAATATGTATTATCAATTTATCACAATAGTAAATACAACTTTCAAAGTCTGTAGGACATAGGTTGAACATATAATTAGTCTTTATAGAACAAAGCGAAGGCTATTAATTCCATGCATTGCGATCCTTAAAATAATCATCAACTTTATAATAGCCTTTACTCACAAGTATATTCTTTACATGAATTTGAAATTTATTTATGGGTAGGTCAATTACATTTTGTGGAACTTTATTGAACATAGCAATACATTTACCCAGAAATGATCCTCTGGTTTTTTGAAGTCTGAAGCTTAGAACGGCAAGTTTATCTTTATTTCTTGTGTTAAGATTATGAACACTACTTTTTTTTGTGAAGGAATCGTAATGTTTTCTTGTGTACATAATATTCTCATAGATGTATTGAGAGGCAACAGTCAGAATATTTATTTCTTTAAATATTTCTCTGAGACATTCCCTAGACCGTAAATTATATATAGCACGGACAGCTCTCTTTTGTAAAATAAAAACGTCCGGAATGCTAGCCGCAGAACCCCATAACAATATACCATAGGTCATTACACTATGAAAATAACTAAAATATACCAATCTTGCCGTTTCAACATTTGTCAAGAGTCTAATTTTCTTAACAGCAAAAGCTGCAGAACTCAGTCTACTTGACAAGCTATCAATATGAGGATCCCATTGCAGTCGGGAATCTAGTGTAATACCAAGGAACTTTGTCGATTCTACTAACTCAACTTTTTCACTATTTACATTTATAAGTTTACTGACATGCCTCACATTAGGTAATGTAAACTTTATGCATTTCGTTTTATTTGAATTGAGCTTTAAATTATTATTATCAAACCACTGTAGAACGTTGTCGAGAGCATTATTTACATCGTCAAAACAATCATTACCCCTCTCAACTTTATACAGTAAAGAGGTGTCATCTGCAAATAATACTGTCTCGCACAAATTCTTCGTAAAGTGAGGAAGATCATTTATATAAATTAGAAAAAGCAATGGTCCTAATATCGATCCCTGAGGTACGCCCATAGTAACTGGTGCCCCTGCAGATTTCGCTTCATTGATTACTACTTTTGAATTCTAGCAGAAAGATATGATCTTATTAGATGAAGTGAATTTTTCGTCACACCATAATGTTCTAATTTCCCCAACAGTGTTTCATGACTAACGCAGTCGAATGCTTTTGATAGATCACAAAAAATGCAAATAGCATCTTGTTTATTCTCCCAAGCATCATAGATATGCCTCAGAAGTGCAATTCCAGTTCCAATCGAGTAATGAGGAAGTATTAAAAAAAAGAAGGCACTGAAAAAACACTTACCATGAATGGGAGGCTCATTCCGTTCTCGACGGAGGTTAAGTATCTGGGGATAACACTGGACCAGAAACTTACCTGGAACGCACATGTAGATGGAATTATACAGAAGTCTAAAAGAGCTCTGATGATATGTTGTCGGCTAGCGGAAAATAAATGGTGTTTGAAACTCAATATAGTCGTCTGGTTCTACACAGCCATCGTAAGGCCGATGGTTTCTTACGCCTCGGTGGTTTGGAGTAGAAAAATGACACATAGTACTATTATATCAAGACTTAGCAATCTGCAGAGGACTGCCTGTCTTATTGTAACAGGAGCTATGTCTTCTACCCCGACTGAGGCTCTGCTCTTGAGGCTCTGTTGAACCTGCCGACCCTACATCTACACATTGAAATGGTGGCGAGGGCTAGTACGAGTATGTACTGGGTCACTAGCATGGAGACGAAGACATGGCTGTCATGTAATTTGAGGTATCTGAAGTAGTCAATATTCAATATACCGATCTTGGGGATGCCTGCTGACACCATACCCCCGAGAGTCGATTCCCACAGGTCATATCTTGTGAAGATTCCTACCAGGGACGACTAGTCAAACAGTCGTATAGTTTGGAAAAATGGAAGCTTAAAGTGGTTCATTGACGGCTCCAGTCAAACAGTCGTATAGTTTGGAAAAATGGAAGCTTAAAGTGGTTCACTGACGGCTCCAAATCCGGCCCTGAGATAGGATGTGGAATTTATGGAGAAGCCCCAAGGAAGGCTATAAGTCTGAACATGGGTGTACGGGTGAACAATATTCCAGACGGTGGTGTACGCCATATTGGAATGTGCGGTAGCCAATCTGCAAAACAACTCAATCGTACTATCTACATTCACTCTTATAGTCAAGCTGTACTCTTAGGACTAGTCTCTGACGTAACTAGATCGAAGCTGGTAGAGAACTGCAAACAGGCACTGAACTCTTTGGGCAAAGTAATTCTACAATGGGTTCCGGGTCACGCTGGGCACGAGGGCAATGAGCAGGCGGACAAACTGGCAAAGAAGGGTGCTAAAGACGCCCTTATCGGACCAGAACCGTTCTGACACTCTAAGACCCTGATCAAAGCCTTCAGCAAAAAGTCGGCATCAGAAGCCTTAGACCTAAACAAAAACAACCTTTGCACCCTTGTACGAGCACTTACAGGACACTGTGGACTGAATAGACACATGTACAACATCGGTATCAGCGGCAGTAGAGTGTGCAGAGGATGCAAGGAGGATGAAGAAACACCCTTGCACATTTTGACTGACTGCCCGTCGCTAATGCAAAGACGGTGTATCTGTCTGGGGAAGCACGTGATGCACCCAGACGAGATTAAAGAACTTTCTGTCAAGAAAATACTGCATTTTCTTGCAGAATGTAATCTTGACCGTGAACTGTAGTATGTGGAGATCACAATAGATCAGCAATGGTCGCAGTGATACTGGGCTGTATAAACCCTAGATAATCCGCAACTCGAAATAATACAACAAAAAACACCTCCAGATGGCGACTCTAGCAATGGTGGTGTCGTGTGTGTCGCGTCGTTCAGTCTCATGCGTCATGCTCGTGAACGGGTGCTGCCAGTGGGGATGGGTCTGCTCTGGACAACTTAACTTCGCCCATTTGCTTTTATAATGAATATTGTATATTGATTTGTTCATGAATATGTATGAATCAGCAATCGGCATAGTAATCACTTATTGAAAATATCTGTCGTATTTCTAATATTGTAATGAAATGTGACTTCATATTCTAATGAAGTTGTTATCGACGAAGAGGGTGACGAGGAATGGTGTGGGCACAGATGCGAAAATAAACAACTTATCTTCTCAAAAACTATATTGTCCACAAAACAAATATCCTCGTCAAAGCACGTGACAATCAATAATGAAACATATGTCAATACCAAAAACAAAATTAAATAAAAATCAAATATAATAAAAAAAACTATAAAAACAAAGACAACGTATAAAAAAGGTCGGTTCAGCTGACGATCCTCAACAGAAGTCTCTTTTCAATAAGACTTCTCTGTGTGAAATAAATTCAAAAAGCAGCCCTTGCTGTGTTTCTTGGCGGTTCTTTACAGTTCTCAGTTGATTTTTGATGGCTTTTTGCAGAAAACGAATGGACCAAAGATAGTAACTTCCGTTCCTTTTAACTAAAATATAAAAAAAAACTGTAATTTGCAATGTTCGAAACTTGGATATCAATACAAATACGAAAAAATACAAATAGAATATGAGTTGTTTATTGAGTTTTGAAAACTAATTTATTTTTTTATATGAAAGAAAACCGAAAAGGTTGACATGGAGAAATCAAGAAAGTACCATAGAGACATTTTGTTTGATTTCGGGAACTAATGTTTTTTTTAATACTTCTTGATTATGTTGTAGTCAAAGCGATTGATCGGGCATTATAAATAATGCAATTAGATAAATGATACGGAAATAATCAAATTTACTGGGAATTTTATAAAATGCCCTGAACTGGTTGTCGTGAATGATAACAAAATAATAGTACTTATATTTCTTTACTTGATCCATAAAAGTGTTAACAATTTTTATTATACCGATGCACGACATAATTCCTAAAATTGCAGTAGACTATAGACCACAATCGTCTTAACTCTATGTAAAAAGATTATACCACACCTTATATCCACCCCGTTAAGGTTTATAACAAAGGAATTAAAGTTCTGTTCTATCTCTGAGATTATAATCCTTATGCTGAGAGGTTTCAAAGCGTTCGCTTATCATAGGTAAAGATATTATAATATCATCGTACATATTACTGCAACAGACATCTTTATCATTGTCATGGATTGTGACCTTAAATTTGTCAATTCTTAGAAATCTTCTGTTACGTCTTAAAGTTGCACCGTTATCTATTTAATAACATAACTTCGTGGCTCTTTACATAAAGATACAACAGTAGCAGGGAGCTATACTTTTTTATCTAAATCACAATAAAACACTCTATAATTTACTTTTAAAATTGGCA